GAAATGCAATGCTAAAAGTTGCAGAAGAGGTGAGAGAGACCAGAACTCACAGCATAGAGAAGTGATTTAGTGACATGAGGACGTACTAAAGAGTTCTCCCAGCACACAAAGGAAAAGCACAGGCAAAGCTGATAGGTCAGGAGGCCAAAGGGAGAAAGGGAAACCCGTGAGTAACAGCTAATCCTAAAGAAGAGACTGAAAAGTTTTGTGGATGCAAAGGTAGCTACAGGAAACGTGCTTGAGCTGAAGCTTCCCCAGGTGAAGGAACCGCTGCATGCAGATCCTAGGAAATCACCAACACAAGGCAAAATGAGTGAGGAAAGAATAGCATTTAAAGGTGCTTTCTTAATTTTTTAAAATTTAAAGTTAGAAAACAAAGTTCTGCAAGCATCTAGATTAGAACTAAACAAGCACGGCGAAGAACGTAAAGCAGGCAGGCCTCAGACTTAACCCTTCTCAATCTTCACAGAACAAGATCAGAAGTTACTAGAACAACATACAGATTTTTAAACTAAAAAGAAAGCACCTTGTAATAGTCTATTCCAGGTCAAGAGTTGTCCATATGTGAAACCACAGAAAGATATTAAGAGATATGTAAAGGGCTGCGGCATCTCCATACATTTGCTGAGAAACATTTTCTGAATATATATTGCAGTCGACAGAAAGGTAAATTAAATCACTGCAACTATGTGAGAAGACATGATAAAGCAGATGTAACAGTTTGTCAACTGAAGACCCTGGGGGATAAGGGGATACCTGAACATTCATTCTTTCTATGATTTTTCCAATTTTTCTGTGTGAATTTTTTCATAATGAAATGTCAGTAAGAAACCCCCAAAATCTCAGGGGAGACATCTTAACTAAACCAAGAAAGCAGTGTTCAGTATGGAAATCAGTGAGATGCATAGCCTATACAATTGTTTGGCTACAAACCGAAGAGATCTTCCTCACAGTGTGATTTATGACATTTTAAAATTGGGGGCTGGGGATTTAGCTCAGTGGCAAAGCGCCTGCCTGGCAAGCGCAAGGTCGTGAGTTCGGTTCCCGGTACCGGAGAAAAACCAAAAAAAAAAAATGATGTCTGCATTTAAAAAATAAAAAATAAAAAATAAAATAAAATTGGCCCCAACTAATTTTCATTGGTAGGAGAACAATTAAATAAATGGTTACATAGAAAAAGAAATAAAAGTGTTATATAGCCATTGATATGATTTTTCTGAGTTAAATGATCCATGTTTTATAAAATAAATGCACCTCTGAATGACTAGAAAAGATAAAATACAGCAAAATGTGTCCCCTTATTTATTTATTTTAAAATCAATGATGTTCTTTTTTAAATCTTATCAGAAAGTGCCTATTTTGAGTTAAAATAACCTTCCCTATACCTAAGTATGAGATTTCATACTAAATTGAAGAAGAATCAAAGTTTCTTCAGTTGTTCACATCCAGAAAAGTTGCAAGCAGCTTTTCAGGTGTTGTTCAGATTTAACAGCACCACGAAAGTAATGGATGGAAGAGTAAATAAATTAAGAAACAACATAATCTTCAGAGATTACCAGTTCTCCTGCAGACAATGGCTACTTTTACACATTGCAGCCTGGTCCCTGTGGAGCTCCTGTCCTTGGGAGCATTTCCTGGAGGGCATGGCTGGTTTGTCACTTGCTTGTGTTGCTGCTTTGCAGGACTGATTCCTTCATTGCTGGTACACTGTAGTTTTGTAACTCCACTTCTGGAACATCTTGCTAATACAGTTGTTGTACTCAGAGGACCCTGACATGAACGCCATAGTTGTATCGCTTTCCTCCAAGGCAGGAGTGAGACAGCAGGGGAGGTTGTATGTGAACCGCCACTTACCATCTCCAAGAAGGGCACTCTGCTGCTCCTTGTGATTTCTTAGGCTACATGAGCAAGTTTAGCATTGGTCCTGGTGTCTCTGCCTCAGGAATCTTGCGGGCAAAGCCAACCACAGCACCCAAGGTCAGGGAGAACCTTTGTGGTTGCTTTTGCCATGAGATACTTTCCACCATAAGTATATTTGTCCAATAGACTCTCCAGTTTTGGCAGAGGAAACTGGTGTTTCTCTTACTCTTTGGGATAAAGAGGAAAGCTGGCTAGTTTTATCAAAGCCTTCGGACATGTTCAGTAGTTTCAGTTCTCTGGTCTTCCTGGGTAACATTTTTTTTAAAAGAGTAAAAGGCAGTCACTTATTACTGTGTTTTTACTCACAGGTTTAACATCTTCTGTAGCAAGCACAGCACAGAAAATGCTTTCATTTTCTAGATCAATAGCTAAGAAGTTGGATGAATAAAATCTATAAAAGAGGGAAAATTCCAAAACTGAAAATCTTTCCAATCTTTCCACAACTTTGTCTAGAGTAAACACCTGATTTGAGCCAGTGGGTTCCTATTTTCCATCATGTCTGTATGTTATTCTATTATTACAGTCACTAAAGATGCATTAGAAATATTTTGGTAAAAAAGTATGTGGAATAGACTGCAGACATAAAGGGGGGATTAAGGCACTCGTTGGCTTTCAGATCAATGTCACAAACAGGAAGTAGTGAGAAAATACGACAGTGGATGATCTTACTGTTTATGAAATGCTTTTAAATTCTGTAACATCATGGCGCCTGGCTAGTTCAGTCAGTAGAGCATAACTTCTGTATCATCAAATTCTTAAATTTTGTATCATCAAAATGTTAATTCAGCAATGTGAATCCCAACTTGCCTTTGCCAGCATTATTAATGTCAATATTTTGGTGATTTTTATTTGCGACCATTCTGTCAATACTCTTCCACATGCTGCATTGCTTTCTTTGATTAGTTCATGTTGCCAGTGCATAATATATTCACAGTGGGGAATTAGCACATCTACATATTGCTTCTTAATCCTCATTACTTCTCTTCCCCCCAGTTTCCTTCCATCCCCAGATCCACACAGTCTACCTCCCTATCATCTTCCTTTTGCTTTGCTCTTTTATTTATATTTTGGATTTCTCACATAAGAGAAATCATGCAATATTTGATATTGTGTGTCTGATTTTCATTAACATTATGGTGTCAGGGTGCATCCATTTTCCTACAGATGACTCAAGTGCACCCTCCTTTATGACTGACTGAGTAGCCCTAGAGATTAGGGAGACTCAGGTGCTGAGGCTGGGAGTTTGGCTCTTCGAGGTTCAGGCAAAAGCAGAGGAGTCAGACTGAGCCTTTGGGCTCCACCTGCTGGTGGCTGGTGTCACAGCAGCTACTCTGTCAGGATAGCAGGTCCACCCAACAACGCCTGTTCAAATTATTTAGCAAGAGAAAAGTCATAACGTGTGTATCTTGCTACAGCAAAATATGACACAGCCAAACTGAAAGATATATACAGGATATCAGTTATGAACTAATGATGGACACTCTTTGTGTGGAACAACTTAAAAAATTACTTTTGGTAAACATCATCAAAACATCAAAGCAATTTATCTCTTCTGAAGATGAAATATCAACTCAGTTGAGAGGAAAATCCAATTACTAATAATTTCTGCTTGGAACATATATGTGTGAAAGGATTTATGTATCTTTAAGGGAGTAGTGCATGAAATAAATGATGTGCTTTTTGATCTACAGCAATATGTCAGATGTGTGTGTGTGTATGTGTGTGTGTGTGTGTGGTATACACCCTGTCTACTCTTACTGTCTGTGTGTATATAGTCTTTTGGGTTCAAACCTACTGAAATCCCTGAGATGTTCACAGATGTGAGTTCTCAGATACTGGACCTGTATAACTCAGAAGTACAAGCACAGACGCCTACAAGTCAGTTGTGTATATTGTTTTTGTGAACCATTTCTAATTAGAAAGAAACTTGCCTAGGTTCCTAATGTCCTGGGTAAAGCCTGTTGATTTCTTTAACAATAAAGCTATGAGTTTGTCTGTGACCTGGGGGTTGGGGACACTGGTTATGATCTGTATCTGATTACAAAACAAATTTTTTCCTGCATTCTCAAGAGTTCTTATTGAGAGCCCGCCCCTTGTGTTTTTCTCTTAGAAGTGACTTGACTCCCTCCAAGATTCAGAAACTTATACTAAAATGAAATTTTTCTGCATTCTGACTTCGCACGATAAGGTGCTTCACAGCTATGACTCCTCCGTGACCCAAGCACTGGGCTGGGCTCCTTTAGTCTTGTGATTCAGCTGTCCCCCCAGGGCTCATTCCTTGTTATCTGCACTCAGCCAACAAAATGGAAGTGTCTTCCCGGTGTGGGGGCCGCACTTACCTTAAAACTAGTGTCTCAGGAATGCCGTATGTCACTGCTGCTCAAATTCCATTTGCTACACATGACTTAAAGGACGGCTGAAGGACATAGGAAGTGTGATAAAAAAATAACACGAATATTTACATTTTAAAAATGTATTACATTAAAAGACACATTGCCATGAATCTCACTCAGAATCCTCCCTGTTACCTGGAATGCATTGATCTCATTGTTCTCATCGCTTTCTGAAGCAGTTCTGCAAGTTTTCTTTCCTGAGTGTCTTTATAAGGTATGATGGAAAACATGGTGAATGCCCAGTGCTATCCAACAGAAAGGCGGGCTCATGAAAGCATTACAGACCATGTGTCCTCACCAACCTTATTTACAAGATCTGGTACTGTGAGACTTCTGGCTTTCGCCCAAAGTCAAAATGATAAAAGAAAGGTACACATTTTGAATCAATTCAGGACATCAAGGCAGAAATGACAGTACAACTAAAGACATTCAGGAAAGAGGACTTCCAGAACTGCTGCAGAAAGTGGCCAGAATGACAGGGTACCTGTTCAAAGCAAGGGGGGAAGTATTACGAGGGAGATTCAATGTGTCTTTTACTGTGCTATATTGTTTTTATTTAAATACACACTGTAGTTTTTGATCACACCTCATAAGTTGTTGAGAGCTAGGGAAGAAGAGAGGGTGGACTCTGAGGCCCAGAGGAGGCCCTGGAGACCCAAGTATGGCCTGTCCGGTTTCTACCTTCAGGTCGTACCTGGGCTGGATGCCGATGTGGCGGTGGGGACCTCGGTGCCAGCCGGGGAGGATTCTGTGGAACAGTCAGAAGTCGAGAAAGCAGCTGTTCCTGCCGAGGAAGGAGAAGGCCCAGAGGAGGCCACAGTTGACACTGAAACCACCGAAGCTGCAGACAGTGACAGACCTGAGGCAGCAGCAGAGACAGAAGCAGCAGCACCTCAGGTGAGTATCACTCTGAGGGGACTTCTGGGCACAGCTGGCTAAAGCAGGGGTGCTGGTCCGTGGTGATGGTTGTTTCATGTGGAATGAGTTTGTAGCCACTTTGGGACTCCTTGTTCCACCAAAAAGATTGTGTGTCTTTAGATTCTCAGAAAGTGTGACCCCAGCATCCACTCAAAATCCCACAACCTACAGCTGATGGGGCATCAGCACAGAAAGGGGAAAAGAAGACCATGGAACAAAGTGATGGAGGGAAGAAAAAAGAAAAAGAAACATAGATGACAAAAAAGATAGAAATGAAGCTGGGTGTGGGTGGTGCATGTCTGTGATCTTCACATTCTGAGAGGCTGAGGCAGGGGGATCTTAAGTTTGTAGTGACTTAATGGGACCCTGTTTCAAAATAAAAACTAAAAAGGGCTGAGGATGTAGCTCAGTGGAAAGACCCTGGTTTCAACTGTCAGTACTTAAATCAATAAACAAATAAAATCAAAGATAAAAATGGAGGGAAGAGAAGAGAATATGACAGATAGGGCTGTTATAAGGAATAAGTCATAAAATGACATGCAAGGCTCAGCCCACTGCCCATCACAGGGTGGAAACTCATTAGTAGTGAGATCATTTTGTTCTTATTGCTGCTTTGTGCTTATTATTATCATCCAAGTGCCCCAGACCCATTGCCAGGCTTTCGGCAGGAGCCTGTTTCTGGGTTCTGTTCCTGCCCCAGGAGGGAGCAAGCCCTTAAGGACTCAAGTCTACACTTTGAAGCCTCTGTGACAAAGACAGAATGGCCTCTGCAGAAATGAGAGCGGCCACTTGGAACCCTGCTCAGTTGCCTTTTCAGGATTGTCTGCAGCCCCTCGTGATGCACTCTCTCCCACTTCACGTTGGCTGGGTGCAGAGATTCCTCGCTCTCCCACATGGCGGACTGTGTGGGGTCCTGCTATGAGCCATAGGAAGGGCTTAGTACTCGGGAGAGACAGAGAGGAGGCCAAGGTCCAGCAAAGGCCCAGGGTCCAAAAGGCTGTGGGGTTGGGGAAATAGAGGGCTGTTAGAGGGATGTGGGGAATGTGAGGCACAAGAGTAGAAGCAGGTGATGAAGGACACAGTCACCATGTGCCCCAAGCCCTGCTAGAAACCATCACCACCTTCTTCTTCCCCTAGGAGAAAGTCATCCCTTCTGTGGTCATCGAGCCCGCCTCCAACAACGAAGGGAACGGAGAACACGAGATCACCCTGAGTGCAGAGACCAAAGAGGGCCCTGAGGACGTGGTTCCCACAGGCCCAGCGGGCAAGACACCAGAGCTGGCCATGGAGCAGAAGCCAGGGGAGGATGCCCAGCCCGAGCCTGCTGCAGGCCAGGCCTCCCAGGAACTGCCTCCTGGCTTTCTCTACAAGGTCCTCTCTGGCTACCTTGTAGCCACTTACCTCTTGTTTGCTTTGAGTACTTTTGGCTCCAACCTTTGTTTTCCTGCATTTTACTTCTTGCAACAGAGAAGTTCTTTGTCAGCACTGCTTTCCCTTCATTCCAGCTGCCTCCAGACAAGGAAGAATGATAGCAATACTTCCCATGTTTTCACAAAGAATAAGATACAGTCTAGATGCCTGTGTTCTGTTGCTATCACGACACACCTAAGACTGGGTGCTTTGTAAAGAAAAGAGGTTTGTTTAGCTTACAGTTCTAGAGGTCCAAGGGCCTGGCACTGGTCTGATGAAGGCCCCCTTATCTGTGTCACAAGATACATGGTGCCATCCAAGAGGGAGAGATCGCAGGGTGAGACCGGAAGCGAGAATGCAAGGAGGAAGGGCCAGTGTTACTCTTATAATAATCTCACAGAACTAATCAAACTCCTATGAGACTTACATTAATCCTTTTGGAGGACTGCCCCCCAGGGACCCCCACTGCTCCTTCTCCTTGAAGTTCCCCCACTTCTGATATTGTGACATCAAAGACTAAGCCTCCAACACAATGAAGAAACTACATTGGAACCATAGTGGGGTTCACCATGTATCTTGTTCTTTTTATCCCCTTTAGAGAAGGCTTCTAAGAGTACCTCCTTATCATCCAGCTAGGAAAACTCATTGTACATCTTCTTTTTTCAAATATATTTTTAGGTGGAAACACTGCATGATTTTGAGGCAGCCAATTCTGATGAACTTACCCTCCAAAGGGGTGACGTGGTGCTGGTGGTCCCCTCGGATTCAGAAGCTGACCAGGTAAAGGATAAGAGTGGAAGATGCTTCAGTCCACATTGGTTTTTCCAGAAAGACAACTGGACCTCGACTTCCCAAAGATAGTTCTATTTTCCAAGATGCTACAAATCAACTCTGAAAAGGGTTTCCTGGCTTATGGCTACAGCACACATTACTAACTTGATTTTTGGTTTCCTTTTGGGATGCTGTTGCCTTATTTCTTTTTTATTCAACTTGATGACCTTTTCTTATCCTTTAATACTTTTAGTGTCCTAGCACACTCAGGTTCACCTGCTTGCTACTCAAAAGCCAATATTTAGGAGCATTAATGGGAAAGAAATCAATTGTATCCAAGGGCCAGCACTCTGGAAGGTGGAGAGGGCTGTTATCCTATCATCTTAGGGAATTCAGGGCTGGCAAAAGCCTTTGATACATGAAACTTTGGGGAACAAACTCCATCCAAACCACATGAGAGTGCCATACGCAGCTCCTTTGTTTTATCTCAGTTGGGGAATTTTTCTAAGTGTGGCTTCTTATAATCTGGCTAAGAAAGAAAGAAGCAGGGGACTGGGAGCAGAAAAACTATGTGCTGACAAGGGTGTCATCTAGAGCAGAAAGGAGTGTGTCCTTTGTTTCTTCTCTGGCTGGAATGGCTCAATGGACCTTGACCTCCTGGGTCTGGTTCCTCTAGTTCCTTAGACAGACATATTACTTTTCTGGAAGTTAAACCTCAAAATAGTTTACATGCTGTGCATTCATTGATGCAGAAACCTAAAGAATAAGGAGGGAGTGCTACGTTCTGATGTATTCTGTAGGTCATCAGATATTTTGAGTTCTGTGAATGTAAAGAAAGACTAGTGGTAAGCATCTCAGTCACTTAGGTACAACATCATTTTAGAAATAGAGTGCTAGGTAAACAGAGGGATAATGTATGAGCTTTCCCATTGCTGGACACAATACCTAACACCACAATTTAAATGAGGAGATGTTTAATTTGGCTTATGGTTTAAGGGGATCCAGTCCATGGTAGGTTAGGTCCAACATGGGAAAATCATGGGAGAAGGATGTGGTGGTGCAAAGATGCTTAGTTCATGGCCAACTGGGAAGCAGAACAGGAGACTGGTATCAGGGAGGAAGGGATCAGGTACCAGACATAGACTCCAAGGTCATACCTCCATGACCCACCCAGACACACCTACAAATGCACTCCACTGATTCCCACCGTGGATCCCAAAGCCAGTCAGGTTGGCACAATCAAGCTTAACTATCACAGATAGGCACCTTGCAAAGGATAACTTGAAAAGAAGTGGCCAACTGGGAAGTGGTATATTTTACAGTACCTATAGCCAGCCACAAATCCTCTCAGCATTTGTTCATCTGAAAATGTCTTCATTCACATTCTTTCTTTCTTTTTTTCTTTTTTTTCTTTTTTTTTTTTTTTTGAGACAGAGTCTCACTTTGTAGTCCAGGCTGGCCTGTAACTCACAGCAATCCTCTTACCTCAGTCTCCTGAGTGCTGGGATTACAGGTGTGTGCCACCATACCCAGCTTCATATTCATTTTTAAGAATATTTTCATTAAGGAAAGAATTCTGAGCTGACTTTTTCCCTTCAGCTCTTCAAAGCTGTTTGTCTGTTTTCTGGTCTCTATAATTATAAAAAAGCAATCATTTGCTTAATATTGTTTCTCTGTACACAGAGACTTTATATTTTTGGTTTTTATTAGTTTAACTAATGTGTTTCATGATTTTATACTTAGGGTTCACTGAGACTTAGGGTTCCTCAGATGTGTAACCTAATATTTTTTATTATATTTGAAAAATTTTAAGCTTTAAAGTGAAGGCATTTCTTTAAGTTTTTCTTGCAACATTCTCCTTATCTTTTTAATTTTCATTTACACTATGTTCAATTTCTTGATGTTTAAGATGCTGTTCTTTTTTTTTTTTTTTTTTTTTGGTCAGTGTATATTTTCCAGTAGTGGTCAGGTTGGATAATTTCTTTTACACTGTTTCCTAGTACTGTGACTATTTCTTCTATTACTTTGAATTTGTTATTAAGCTTATCCAGTGACTTTTCCATTTCAGATATTCTTACACAGTTCTCTTCCTTTTTTCTTCCTTCTTATAGTTTCCATTTCTTTGTTGAGATTTCCTATCTATTCTCTTACTATTGCCATCTTCTAATTTAAGTACTTGAGCATATTTATAATAGCTACTTTAAAGGTTTTACTGCTCGTTCCAAAAGTGTGACCATTTTGGAGCACATTCCCATTGCTTTCCTTTTGTCTTTGGGTCTGTTTTTCTGGTTTTTCTTCCTGTGTCACAATGGTTGTGTAACCCATTGTAGAAATATGGATTCTGCTTTCTATATCTGAAGGTTCTTTATTTTTGTTCTATCAGGCATTGATTGACATTACCGGATAATTATCTTGTGGTAATTATTTGTGGAAGCTCATTTTGTACTTTGTTAAGGCTCAAGTATTTAGTCTTGTCATAAATTCCTACTCCTGAAATGCTGTCTCTGCCCCCAAGACATGGATTCTTGGAGAGTTCAGTAAAAGTCCTGCAGGGCTTAGCAGTCCTCCTAAAGACCCAGACTCTCAGCTCTGCCCTCCTCCTTTCCACTGGCAATCCTAAAATCTCTGCTTCGGTTTTCAGCGTTCCACTATTGTTTTCCCCCAGGGTTCTTGAGTGTCCCTTACGAAGACAAGCTTGGGGTTCAGCCTCGGATTTTAGAGAAGTTTCTCTGTATAGATGGGGATCCTCCCTATGCCTCCTTCTTCTTCAGGATAGCCACCCCCATTAAGATACCTCTGCCCTGGTAGCTTTAAACTGTGTGCTCTGAATGCACTGTCACATGTACTGAAGATAGTCCTCAGGGAAAGGCTGTATTTGAGTAGGTCTCAACTTCTATAGCTCCCTGCTTTCAAAGGTTAAATATCCTCCCATTGTGCCTACGGTTGTTCACCCTTGGTGCCTTCACATAGTTATGCCCATGATTTGTGCCTACCTCATTATATATAAATTTATATTATTTTAAATATTTTATGGCAATTGGTGTGTGTATAGCTTCATGTATGCACACATGTGTATGTAGAAATATATAGCTATTCTAGCATTTATTATTACTTGGTACAGAAGCATTTGTCTAATATGAATTATTCTGCCATTATCAGAACAGGAAGTCCTTGTCTGCTGTGTGTTTTAAGCAGCTAAAATTAAATTTTCTTCCCCTGAAGATGGATATTGGCCTGATATCCTTCCCTTTACAATTTAAGTTGCATTTCAGAATATATGTTTCAGAATATATTGTATTATGGGTTTGTAGAAGTCTTTTATTTGTTTTCTTTATTAAAACCATTTTCAAGTGCTTGGCTGTTCTCGGTCCCATTAAATTTTTCACACACTGTAAATAAAGTCGAATGTAGATACGTGGGGGGGGGGGAATGACCCCCCCACACAAAAGGTTTAGAAAATATTTTGTTATCATCCTGTACTTTAAGTATAACTTTGTCCTTCATATATATGACATTATAATTTTAAAGAGGTCACTTTTCTTCATCAGTGAAAGAATTACCAGTTTTTTATGGGATCATTTTTATTCTTTTTTTTCTGTCTTCAAAAATTGGCCTGTCGGGGACTTATATTTCTTGTCTCTATGGCAGCATCAATTTACACTCTCAGATTATATCAAAAGGGAATGTATTCAGTTTCTTAATTTAATTTTTGAGACCTCATTTTATCTGATGTACTTGAACCCAGTGGGGTGATTGGTTGTGATTAAATCTAGCCATCCCTCTTCATAATTGGGGACTCTCTCCTGTCCTTGTTAACATAATAAAGACAGTCATTTCCTGTGAGTTTGATTCTGTGCAGTCTGCACATTTCCTACTAGTCCAACTCAGCTGCTTCCAGCTAGGCTCTGCAACTTCTAAGGCCAAGCGTACAAAGCAGCCTCTATTTCTCTATGTTAAGTATCACCTCGAACTCTGTATGATCACCCGTGTATGGGTTCTTTAACCGTTCTGTGGCTAAATGTCTTCATATTTTGATGGCAGTCTTACATGACAAAGATTGAGTTATAAAGAATATATGAATGTCTCCAGTAAGAAGTCCATAACATTTAACTTCTTTGTAGTTTATGTAAACTTGAAAAACAAGATACTGATACTAACAATAACCGGAGCAGTGTCAGGCAACCCACATCTAGTTGTTAGTAGATGGTAAACCCCATGATTCCTTGGAATTGTGATGTGAGCTATGGGACAGAGGACTTTCTTAGAAGCAAGTGGCCCAGGATGAAATATAAGACCCTATCTGGCGTCATCAGCATGATATTCTAATCAGGGACCCTCCAGCCTGAGTTCATTGTGACTTTCATCTTCCTTCAAGCTATATTTTGACTTGAATTCCTTAGGAACTACTATCATAATGCAGCTGATGTCAATCAACAGTGTTTTACAAAAAATCAGAATGTTAACTTTAATCTTCAACCAACTATAGTTTACACAGTAAATATGATATATGACAGAAAACTATAGTGTATGTTTGAATTTTAAAATTTATTACAATTAAGGAGACACTGCCATGTATCACCCTCAAAATATTTCCCTTCCCTTCCCTATCATTCTTGCCACTTTCTGAAGCAGTTCTGGGAGTCCTCTTTCATAAGTGTCTTTAGTTATGCTGTCAGGGCTGCCTTGATGTCCTGAATTGATTCAAAATGTTTACCTTTGAGGGTCATTTTGACTTTGAGAAGAGCCAGATCTAGTGAAAAAGGTGGATGAGGACACACTATAATGTTTTTACAACCTTGCCTTCCCGTTGGATGGCACTTGCCAGTGGCATTTTCTGTATTTTTCATAACGTCTCATAAAGACACTCACAAAAGAAGACTTCCAGAGCTGCTTCAGAAAGCAGCAAGAACCATGAGACAAGTGTGTTTGAAGTAAGGGCAAGGATTTTGAGAGGGATTAATAGCAATGTGTCTTTCACTGTAATAAATTTTTAATTTAAATATTCAGTCTCTATCACCTCATGCAAGACTTCCTATGACCTCATCAGCCCAATAACCAGGGTTCCCTATGTCTAAATTCACTGTGACCTGCTGGACAGGTCATGTTCCTGTAAGCTGTGTTGTCACACTGCCTTTATTCTTCCTTAACAACTTGTATCATAATCCAGTTAATCAATTAACTGCTTTAAACAAAACCGTAACGTCAGCACTCATCTTGAGTCAAATATACTTTATACAGTACATAAATAGTTTTAAATGTTTAGTCTTTATTTATGTATGTATGTATTTATTTATTACCAAATGATTTGTGATGAGCCTTGCCACTGATCACACCATAGGACTTTCCATGTTCCGTGACATGATGGGCAGAATCACAGTCGGTTGTGGTTCTAGGCAGTCCATTTGCTTCCATAGTTCTTGGGTCTTGACCACCTGTCACTGTCTTGCAGGATGCGGGCTGGCTGGTGGGAGTAAAGGAATCAGACTGGCTTCAGCACAGAGACCTGGCTGCCTACAAAGGCCTCTTTCCAGAGAACTTCACCCGGCGCCTGGAGTAGGACTACAAGCATTGCAGAAAAGAGCTGGACGACTGGGTTTTTAAACCTTCGTGACATCCTGAAGAGTTCACTTTTGCTGTGATGCTCTTAACCATTTACAGACTGATGCCAGACAAAGATTGAGAAGACCTATCAGTAGAGCATGTATGCAAAATAAAAATGTGTAAGAGGGAAAAACATGTGAGGAAAAAAGTCCTCACTTTGTTCCCACGGGGTTCATAACAAGTTGGTTTGTGCTTTGTCCAAGCTGTGGACACTCTTGTACTTGACTGCTCTCCCACCAGTTCTAAAGTAGCTTTCTCCAGACTGGACCTTAATTTCTCTGCACCAAGTGTGTGATATCCAGTGTCTGCCCTGCAGAAGATGTGATGAATTTTCCCTTAGTACAAGTTGATCTGACTCCCCTGCCCAGGTGTGAGCACGTTCTCTCTTTCCCTTTCAGGTTTACTGTGTTTAAAACTAATCTGCTGCAAATGTTTTCAATGGTCTTTTCCAACACACCTATATCTACATATATATGGACACACACTCACATAAGCTAGTCCCCGCAACTGCTGGATCTATGTGTATGCAGAAGGCTACATATACATAGTTGCTTTCTTTCGTTTCCATTGTAGCTCTTCGCTGCTCAAGTGTCATTGATACATGCGTTGCTCTTACTCTGTCTGGCATTACAATTGCAAAACCAGCCATCCCATTGCCAAAACAGTCAACAGTATCTGTGTTTGTCATGTGCAGTTTCCAGGATGAGATGACAGCACATCCAAACTGCTGCCCTTTTGGACAAAAGCAGGGCCTTATCACGCAGCCGCCAGCTGCTCTGGCTGAAGGAAGGCTAGTCTGGGAGGAGCAGCTATGGTCTTCACTCTTGCCTTTAAGAGATTGGCTACAAGATGGGGCACATTAATCCCACCCCAGAGAACCAATTTAAAAGAGCTCCTATATATTTCCACCTCTTTCTATTTATGCAACTCATCTTCACAAGTCATCCTAAAAAAAAAAAAAAAAATAGGTGGTGTATGCTGTATCCACAAATCATTTGTAACAGTTATGTTCTCAGTGCTGTGTCATTCCAAATAAACCTTTGGTAATCTCCAACAATTACCCTAATTCTTTTTTATGAGTCTTTTTTCCCCGTTTTTGAATCTTGCTCCATTTGGACACACTCATTGAAACAATTTATGTTGGAGTTGTTATTTGTGCAGAAAAATGCTTTTTCCTTCACTGAGTTGTGCTTCGTAGTCTCTCTTTACCCCTCTCCTCCTCCATTCTGGTCATTGCTGATCACTGGGTGTCCCTGATGACCAGCAATTACTGCAGCACAAATAACAGCTGTGCAGGGAGACCCCATAAAGGTGCCTCTATGGACTCCCAGTCTGAATGACAGACAATCGTAGGCCCTTCATAATCAGCAATTTCTTCCCATGCCAGCTTCATTTTTTTGGTCGCTTTTCTTTCTGGCATGTTTACATTTCAGGTACATAAAAATATCAGAGCATATAAAATAGAAAAGTCAACTCCCTGAACCATGGATGCCTGAACTCTCCAAACAAAAAAAAATTCATTTTGACTCGAACTCTTCTCTACTAATATAATTCTATATACAATGCAGGCTGGTCAAACATGTGCATTCTTAGACTTGGAAGTGTGTGTACTTTTGACTCATAGTTCAAATTCTGCTGGTGCAGATTACTGACTTTGATGTTTTAAATGTTAATAGGGAAATCATTATTATCGACTCAAGAGTTTTCCGGGGGCTAATTTACAAGAAAACCAGGTCATCATGAATGCTAGTCTAGTGCAAAAGAATAAGACACCAGTGTCCACCAACATGACTGGTAATTCAGGAAGTGAGATGCAGCAATGTGAGATTTATCATAGAGAAGGAGTTCTTGACATTAAGTACACAAGAGATGCTAAAAGCAAAGCTAAAATATTAGCTCTAATAAGCAAATGCACCCAATGTATGACAAAGACAATTGCCACATCTGGAGCAGTTACCCTGAAATTCCTGTCACACCTCTGCACAGGGCAGCTCTCATTGAGCAGTTAAGCAGGGCATGGCCAAGATAAATTTCACTTTGAACTTAGAATTTACCTATGTAAATCAAACTAATTCCTCTACAATGGTATGTTTTTAAGCAGTTGTTCAGTTCTTTTTCTCTTTTATAGCACTAAGTAATAAGGTTCTCCATTCAGAAATTGCCAAGATCCAAAAGAATTCCCAGTGGGCTGGAAGGAATGTGTTAGAGGACATGGGGTCAATAGGGTTATTCTCCAGAAATGACCTCTGATGTGGAGAGAAAATTCTTTCCCATTGAGGTGGATTTTCTAGGAGATGTGTGAGGAGTGTCAAGGACTCCCTGTGGTTACCAGTATCCAGGTCCTTCCACCTCCCTTTCTCAGCCTAATTTAAGTTCCCGCACCACCAACCCACTTTAGGCACATTACTTGATTGTATGTTGGCAAATTTGTATCTATGTTTTACACCAAATGGCCTGGACCCAGCTCTGTCTGGGCCTCTTCTCCATGTTTTCAGACTGCTGCTACAAACCAATAGCATGCAGACCTTCAAACACGTTCAAGTCAGAAAAAGGAAGCCTAACATGGACTCCAGTAATCCCTCTAATAGACTTGTGTTGTAGGGATAACTGCCAAAGTTCTCTGGCAATATGAATTTGTAATGACATCTCTGAGTCCTGAGGACAGTCCATGTACCATGCCACTGTTACTTTGACCCACAGGCTCTTTCTGACAAAGCTAGGATGGCTTTGGATTCAGCCAGAGAGCTACACGTATCATGTTGTGGGCTGCTGGGCAGAATGTGCAGGCTTAGAATTCTAGGAGCTCTTTTATCACATAAAGAAGCCTTTAATCAGGCTATTGGGAAAATCTGACCATATGCCACAGTGGCCCAGCAGTGACCCATTATAGAAAACACCTCTGGGAAACTATAAAAGTTATGAGAAACCAAGGAGTTTAAAGATGACTGAAGCTCTGTGTCTTATCCACACAAATGCATGGTGGAATACCTTGAAGCCTTAAAAATGGACTGGTCACAGATTGGCCTTACCAAGACTCTATTAGTCTTTCTTAAGGGACCCAACTAAAAGCTGCCTTCTGATTTCTTCTTGGAACCCAATAAAAATCTTTACAAATATTCTATGCCAGACTTTGGCATAGAATGTAGCACTTGGCATCTATTGTAGCACTCCTGCACATGATGGTGTGGCTCCCGTCTTCCCAGCATGGACCTCTACTTAGGACTCGGATAAATGGAATTGGATATTTTGTAGCTGCATGCAGAAGACAATGACCAATATTCTTAGCCAACTTAGAAAATTGAGTTCCATGTGGTTCTATTCATCTCTAAGGTAGCCAGCCCTGTATCCTGTCTCAGATCTTGATTTAAGATTATCCTATCCTGCAGGACAAGGATGAGGCCATCCTGCTATTCCAGGAAGACTCCTCAAGGGTCCAAGCAAGTGTTTGAGAAATTGCTCATAAAAGCTAAATAAACAGTGCTTGGATAAGTGCACTAGTCCTTTCAGGTATTTTGTAACTCATTGGCTGTATATAAAGATTGCTTAGTGGTCATCTCTGTGGACTTTTCCAGTTTGAAAGGTAACTGTGACACAACCCTTAAATCTATGCAAATCAAGAGAAAAGCCAGCTAGGTACTGAAGCTCTTTCAAAGGAAATCTAAACTTTCCCTTAGCTTTCTAAAATCCAATTAATTCCCAGTCCCATGTAATCTCAGGTCCAACACTCAGGTTCTCTGCTTCCTGATGGTCAGGTTAGAGTGATCTGGTTATTTCTTTTCCCTGCACCCTCCTGAACAACGTGTGTATGTGTGTAGTTCGCACTCAGAAAACATGTCCTGCACCCCTGAGCACCTTGTCCATAAGCACATTGCCTTGTGAATGATACCCTCACACCTACTTCCTATCAATGAACATCGTTATAGTTAGTGTTGTTATCCTGTCATTCCCCAGCTGATTTTGAGGTATTCGGTGATGCCATCAAACCAGACTCTTTCTAAAATTCCAAAATACTAATTCTCCTTGTTTTTCTACCTCTCTCATTGTTCCTTTTCTGCCACTTTTCTTTGTTTTTCTTCCTCCTTCCAGAGGTGTTGGGAGTGGGGTGTGGGGCCGAGTGACTTCAGGGTCTCTCCTTTGGTTTGTATCCAGCTCACCAAGGAATGTTCTTCCAAGGGATGTTGTTGCCATCATGTCCGTATGACTTTTTGGTTCATTAAACATTTTTCAAGCTCTTGCTAGGTGTCAGTTACTGTATCCTGGGGCCACATTTTACCAGACTTTCTTAGACCTTGTGCTCACCACACTACTCAGGGGCTCCCCATTCTTCACACTGCTGCAAAGTTGGGAGTGATTTCCCAGATGGCAAACACCTGCCATTATTGCTGTCCTCAAGACAGCACACCACTTTGCACTTTGGTGTTTATCACCTGACCTTGTAGGGGCCCTTCCCAGTGCTACAGAGGTGATTTTAGTGCTTCTTCTCTTCCTACTTCCTGTCTTTCCCATTTGTCCTGTGACTCAACCCATTTTATACAACTAACACTGATGCCAGTGTGTTCCCACCCCTTCTCCTTGTCACGCTCAGACTCTAATGGTGACATTCTATCCAATGCTGTATATCACATCAAATCACAGTGTCACTGTTGGGAGCTGCTGGAGTTGGTTGCTGGTCATATGTGTGAGGGTGGACAGAGCCAGAGTGCCTCAGGCAGTCAAGCTACATCAGTATTGAAAAAAGGATTTTACGTGGACAGTTATAGTCGTTAGTCACTAGGCAACACTATCTCTCATGATACTACTTCGCAAGTGTATAAAATAAATGCCCCTACTGTTGAAGTCAGTCCTCCTGCTCATCAAGCAAGAGGTAACTCCACCTGACCCCGGCTATCCTTTCTTGTCTTTATTTTCTAAATCCTCTCGTCTTTTTCTCGGGAGGACCACCAAGACACCACCGACTCCCACACTATCCGATGCTGTATATCACATCAAATTGCACTGTCACAAATATACAAATATCATAAGTCACAAATATACAATTATTTCTAAATCACAGATATACAAATCGCAGTGTTGTATATCACATCAAATCACAGTGTCACAGCGTGGCCTTCAAAGTCCTCACATCTTCACCAATATTCATCTTCAGCTTTCATCAGAGGAGTCTCCCCACTTCCCCATCCCTGCTTCCCCATCCCCATGCTACACCTTTGCTCACCTATTGCAACATCCCTCTCTTGGGCTGCTCCCTCCCTATTTGCCTGCAGTCCCTAGGGAACAACTCAAATCCCACCTCTTCACCAAATTCCTCCCTACCTGCTCACTCCTGTGTACTTACCCACTCTATCGCGTGCGGAGTAAAGCCAATGTCTTCTAGCCTTTCGTTTCCCTCATTGAGTGATAAACTGTCTCTTGACTTCCTCTGTATTCTGCATCCACCCTAGGATCTTCTGTGTACACTTGTGCTGTGTGACTGAGTAACGGACCAACAGATTGGTTAATTCAGGACATGGCCAGAAAACTCTAATCCCAGGATTAGCAATGCAAGAAAATCTGAAAGTAAATATAAGAAGGAATGAAAAATACCTTTGTCATATTGGAGAGTGAAAACTTTTCTTATATAAAGTTGCACAGTGCACAAAGTATAATGGCAAAAAAAAAAAAAAGAAAAACAAAATCAAAGTAAGGAACCAAAGCTTGACCACAAAATTTAAATTTCTATTTAATGAAAAAGCATGGGAGATAAAGTTCATAGGTAGATGACAGTGCACTTTCATAGATCTATAGCATCCCAACCTCACAAAAACAATTATCTAGAATACACAAACCACTCTTTCAAGAAGAAATGCATTTCAGTGTTGCTACTATAATTATATTTATTATATATATTAGCATTCATTTATATATAATATTAATAAACTAACAGGAATAGTGAATGTAATAAGAACATTTGTTGCACATTTACAACTTGCCTGGCCCTGTAAGGATTCTATATGTTTCAATTCATTTAATCTTCACAAACCTATGAGGCACTTAACTGTTTTTACTTATTACAGATGAAGCTAGAGG